TGCTCTTTCCTGCTCCCCGAATCGATTTGACTATAATTTTGAGCAACGCCATGATTTTCCATAAGCTAGCATCTCCTCTCAGCACCACCTTCCTACCCTCCACTTGGAACTCCATCGTCAAGGACTTCCAATCAGCCTTCAACTCTTCCAATTTTGGCAACCACTTTATCCCCAGAACCACATCTGTGCTTCCCAAATCCAAAGGAAGTCTTCCACACCTGTAGGTCATGTAGTGTCAGAGCCAACCCACTTGCAAATTTCTCAACTTTTGTCCACCTTCCCTATCCCCATCATGACGCCAAAGCTCCATGTAGTCACCAGCTTCAACTCTAGCTTTTTCACAACTTGATTTGAGATAAAGTTATGTGTGGCCCCACTATCCACCAATACCACAATTGGTTGTTCATGATTCATCCCCTCACCTTCACGGTGTGATTCAGGGTAAATCCCACCACCGAATTCAGGGATACCTCCGCCACATCCAAATACAGATGCTCCTCATCCGCTGCTTACTTTTCTGATTCCTCACTCTCTGTATCCTCCTCCTGAACTAAAAGAACCTGAAAGGTGCACTCCTTGCAATGGTGTCCTGGAGCGTATTTCTAGTAACAGTAACACAATACTATGGCTTTTTTTGTCTTGTACTACTGCATCTGTGAGGCGCTTGAAATTAACCCCGGACAATGGTCCGATACTCTTTTCTTTCGGTGTCTCTTTCTGAAATGACATCGCCTGAGTCCTCGGTGTCGTGGCAGTCACAGTGCTCTTGTAGAATCCCAATCATTGCAGCCTTTGCCGGTCTTCTTGACATGTTTCTTATTGTCAATCATCTGGGCGAACTCCACCATTTTCCTTAAACCATCTGGTCTCAAGAGACGGATGGCCGCTCGTATATCGAGCTTCATGCCTTTCAAGAAGTTCCATTCCAAGCCTGCTGCAGAAATCCCCCTCAACCTCCCTTACACAAGCTCGAACTTCTCTCTGTACTGCATAACCGTCCCCTCCTGAGTCAGAGCATAGAATTGCTCGTGTGGGTTTCCTTCCTAAATGACTCAAAAATATTCCAACAAGCAATCCTTAAACTCCTCTCATGAGTGTATTAGATACATTGCCTCTATCCACTAGAACCACGCTAAAGTCTTCCTCTCCAAGCATAATCCCGCTACCATGAGCTTCTCTTCCTCAGTTAGCCCATTGATCGCAAAGTATCGCTACTCCAGATACACTCATCCATGTGCATCATACCCTTCGAAGATTGACATCTTTAGTTTCCTGATCCTTGCATCTCCACTACAGCTTCCTCTCCCTCCGGAATTTCCCCCCATATATCTAGTATAAAACTCCCTCCTGCGGTCATAGGCATATCCCACTCCCGATTCCCACCTTTCTCCATCATACTCTTTGGTGCCCTTCCACCATCCCTTCTCCAATTTTCGGCCTATCCCCCACCATCAGAAGTCTCCGCCCCTCCTCTTAGGGCCTTAGGAGGACGCTCTTGTAGGTAGATGATATATTCTTTGTTGTCTTTTTGCTTGATTTTCTTCCCCTTTGACCTAGCTAAGGATTCCCTGACCAACCCTTGATTAGGGTTTGCAACTGGACCAGTCAACACGACATTGGATTGCATTTCCACGTGCTTTTTCATCATCTCCCGCATTTCCCCTTATGCCTTCAAATCCATCATTCATTCGAATTTCAATAGAAGAAAATTTGTCCTCCATGATAGCAAACATTTCTTCCATTCGAGATTGAATTTGCTCCACTGCTCATTCTAGCACATCAACTTTCTTTGCTACCATCCCACCAAGATCTATGCTCTAATGCCAATTTGATACGCATCAGCACCAAAATCAGCAACAAGCCACAACGAAATCAAAATAAATAGGTCAAAAAAACACAAATAAGGGCTGCTCTTACAAAAACAAATGAAAACAACAAGATATAATGGTGATCTACTTTTTGAGAGGTAGAATGGCTCACCCACAACCCTAGAATTCGCTAGGAACACCATCAAACGAAAGAACAAAGTAGCCAACAACAAACATGCATAAAAAACAAGCCCTAGGTTACTTCCTTTAATAGAATTCACTCTTGGTAATTCAAAAACTTTCCTTCCAAGCCTTCCCTTTAAACTCCTTTAATTTCTCTTCCTTGAATATGTGATTAAGGCCCTCGTGGATCCCCTTTGCTCCCTTCCTTTTTCTGTCGCAGCACCTCGCTTTTTTTGGTCGCAGCAACCAGCTTTTTTCCTTTTTTTGTCGCCCGCTCCGCTTTTCGTGGATGCGTCTGGCCTGCCTAACCGGTTGGGTGATGTTGGACTGGTCCCTTCAGAACCAGTTCACATCCACGCGGCGTAACAAAAACGTCCCATCAAAATTAAATAAAAACTTCTCGACAAGAGAACTTTAATAAGAAAAAAATCCCCATTCAAACATCTATAATTGCTGGAGGTTTCCTTTGAGGGGCTAAGTCTTTTGACAGTCAACAAGACACCATGAAAATAATATTTTACTTGAGCATAGCCAACTAATGAACGCATTCAAACTTCTGGACGAAAATAAGAAGGAAAGTTCTGAAGAACTTTATCAGATACATTAAAAGTAAGAGATTACACAAAAACAAAGCAAGTGAAGCATCAATTATGACCTATAAATATTAAGATTCAGAAGAGATTTTAAGCATTGTACTGCAATGAAAAGAGATTTTAAGCATCAGTATTACAATGTGGATACCAACTAGTCACGTTGGTGAGGGCCTTTAAAAAATTTTTGACAAGGTCTAGTAATCAACTCTTATTTTTACAATGATAAAATCCCATCTTATGGATTTTCCGGGAGGGGCGAGGGGGCTGAAGTCGCCATAACGCTCATATCATTAATCTAGAAATTTGACCAGGCGAACAAATTAAGAAGCAGATAGATTTGATGAAAAGAAGATACTAGAGCTCATCTTTCAACAAGTGGAAAGATTCAACATCCCAGAACATAGGAAACTTCAGCTTGGCTGCAGTATGTGGCATGCTCCAATCATCATAAATGAACCTGAACCAATGAAGAACATTATATCGAAATTAATATCACCATCCTAAAATAAACGTTCTTCGTATCATAATATGATTTTCATTTCATTTGATTTTATTTTATCAGTTTTCTTGTATGCCAATCTAATTTTCCTCTAAGAGGCATAGATTCAAGTTGTAATTTGAGCAAAAAGCAAGAGCAAAACAACAATCAGTAAATTTACTCCAGGGGCTCATTTCTTGGCTTTTGCAATTGGAAAATATATTTTATAAAAAAAGTGATTTTGAATCTTACATTTGAGAAATTTTTTTTTACATTTGAGAAATTTTTTTTTGAAAGTCCATGAGTTTTAAATCAAGCTTAATTTCTAACTACGCATTCAGCATAACCAAATTTTATCGTTTTCTAAAATTTATTTTCTAACTTTCAAACAACAAAAATGAAAATAGCTAGTTGTCATGGCACCAAGTGAAATAATTTAAATCAAATCACATACTTTCCAAAGAATTCAGAAGAAAAAACCATTTTCTCTAATATGTTATTGTGGGAATCTCTGAAGATTCTAAAAAAAAAATTGAGATAAAAAAAAATTGAGATCTTAGAAGATTTCATTGGGACAACTTAGGAAATTTTTTATTAGCATGTTCCCTTCCAATTCTATGTTATTTTATCTTTTATTTCAGAATTATTTCATTTCCTTATTTAGGTTAGGCATATTTGATATGTTTGTAAATTAGGGGGCATTGTTTTGTGTGTGTGTTGTTTGTTTTGAGAATTTAGCGGAATAATTTTATTGATATGAAGGCATAAATATATGTTACATAAATTTTAAAAAAGAAAGATATAACACCAATACCTCCAAGATTATGATTAATCAATTCCTAATAACTACACTGAGATAAAAGAAAAAAAAATAAAATAGAGAATAACTAGAAATGAAATAAATCAATATTAATAATTTCTAAAAATAGGAAATAACCGGAAAGAAAATAAATTAATACTAATAACTTCTAACACTTTCCCTCAAATTGAAATATACATGTCAATTGACCCGACCCACAATTACGTAGATTTTTAAGCTCCAAAAGATGACAAAAAACTTGACTCAATTTATATTTAAACGGCTAGTGTGCAAAATAAGATTTTATAAAATTTAGAATTTGATTTATATTTCACAAGATATTTCACACACTAGAGGTTCTACGCAAGTATACGTATCGTTTCAAGTAATATAAGGTTTTCATTCAAAACCTCACTATCGATCCCACAAAGAAGCAAGGTAAGAAATTTTTTAGGCTAATTTTAGTATACTACTATCAGGTCTTAGTTTGGAATATCAATTAAACTGATTTTTTTAATAACTTGTTGTAAATGAAAATCTTAAATCTAAAGATAAATTATCTGGATAAATTGTTTTATAGAATTTTGAGATGTTAAAGACTATCCTTCTTGTGCAATGATCTAGATTATGTGTAGGAATGAAATGCTTAGAATTTAATGTAGCCAGTGACAAATAGGAATAAACTTATTCTTCACCCCATCTCGGTGCTAGCAAAGAACATTCGCTAACCTAGAGTTTTTCATCAGCTTGTGTAGTAGTGCTGAGTAGTTCTAACCTCTTACTTCCAGATTACCCACCGTGCACTCTCTATAGAACCTACTAGAGACCCTTACAATCCAAACTCTATACTGAATTGATAACAGAATCTACAGTCTGTCACCCTAAAAACATTAATTCTACGCCTATAAAAAACTTATCACCCTATCTATTTGCACTCCCCCTCAAGTGATCGCAACGGCTCTGCCCAAGTTGAAATGTGATACTCACTAGTTTGTGAAATCATAGTCCTCCTGGATTATTATGTTTCACAACAAATTTTAACATTACGAGTGATCAATTTGTAAAGTAAATTAAGAGTCGATGAAAATATCATCACATTAATTAAATAAAAGAATATCAAAGCAAATCTAAATTCCTAAACTTGCATCTATTTCATTGCAAAAGAAAAATAAAACGATGATAATGACGTAAACCGTAAACATTGATAGAATCAAGTAATAAATTATGTGCCAACAAGGAACATGACTACCTACTCTCTTTCGAGTGTATACATACACTTAGTATTAAATTAGTTCTATGCAACTATCTCTCATCTAGAAGCTCCTAATGAAAGAGATCATTAAATTACATTTCCTTAAAAGTTGCATTGCCGCCTAAACTACTTTACTAGTCAACCGATCAATGTAAGTGCACTCAAGTTGCAAGATCACTGTTATTCCGAGCCTTAGTTTTACATGCAACAAATTTTAACATAACTTATTGTCACTTAAGTTATGTCAATGAAGTAAAATAGATATTACTCATCACATGAAAATAAAAATTATTCTATCATAAAATAAATTTTTCTACACATGCCACAACTTCATATTAAAAGAAAAGAGTAAAGAAAACTACTTATGAAACATAGAAAAAACACAATATAAAACTTCGTTTAAATCAAAGAAAATTTACTAGAAAGTGTTTACAATAATTACAAGATAATGAAGAACACAATACTTAATTTTTTCCCTCTGAAAAAAGATGAAAAATCTTCTCACCAAAGTCTCCTGCCGATTCATGCGCCGCTCATACTTCCTTACTCATTTATCTCAAAATCCCTCACCAATCTGTCCAGAAAAATGGAGAAATTTACATCTTCATAGACTCACGCCAAACTCACTAAAAACTCTTTCTAAAAACACACTCTAATTACTTTCTAATTAATTGTCATGAGAGGCGCCAACCCCCCTATTTAAAGAGACATAAAACCCCTCCTTTCTTTAAGAGACGTCTCTTCATCCAAAAGACACACTATTTCACTCTAAGAGATACATCTCTTCATCCAAGAGTCTTTCCAAGTGTTTAGATTCATTTAACAACTCTACGGGGCGTGCAAGCCATCCGAAAGTTTTCAGAACATCCCAGAATAGCCCAAAATAGCCTAAAAGCCGTCCAAAATCCATCTCGAGCACTATGGAGACAGAATCGGCGCTATAGCGCCTGTTTATAGTCGTGTTCGGCGCTTTAGCGCCACCTTGCAGGCAACACACCTGTTTTGCTCCGTTTTAGCTCTATTTCACCCCGTTTCAGCTCTGGTTCGCTCCTAATGTTATACCTATAAGATAAACATGAAAATAACATTTGTTTAAAGTAAAATTTCATTCAAAAACATGTGATAAATATAGAGGAAATTAAGCATAGAAAGTTATATCAAAATGTGTCGGATTAGAATTTTCTTACTTGCTCAAATTGGCTCCAAATTGCACCGTTTTTGCTAAAACTTCATTTCTTGTACCTGAAACCAAAAACATACAAAATACATTCTTTTAAATTGTAATATCATAAAAAAAGTGCATAAATGAACCTAAAATGTACACTAAAAACAGATAATTTTAAGGTGGATTATCAATCATGTTCAACTTGGATTTAAAATCATCAAACAATGGGCAAGAAATATATTTTGTGAATTAAAACTTGAAGTCTTCATCCCCATGGCATTTAGGGATACTTCTAGTTGACCACAATTGTCTTTAACTGCAGTTATGAAGTTCTTGTAAGTAGGTGAAAGGCATTGTCGGCGGTTGGAATTGTAAAAAACAATAACTGAGAGGCTGTTCGGGGGTAGTTGCAGCAATGGAGGGTGGTATGATAGTGGAAAAAAGAAACAAGAAAGATCATGAGGCTACGACAGCGAAGTTAGAGGGCAGGGAAACTGATGGCAGTGAAGCAGAAGGCCGGAAATGGTAGCGACGGTGAAGGGGGCAATGCGAAGGTGTTGGCACTAAAAAGTAAGGAAGAGGTTTGTTTGGGGGGGTCGCCCGTAAGAAGCTGTCGGCAGCCGGAATTGAAATCCCATCGCCCGCTTCGGAAGAACGTTTTAATTTACGTATATATATATATATAATTTTAGAAAAATATGAAATCAAACTGACCTCATATTTTTCACAGTTTAAATGAAAGAGCGCTCTACCTCAAATCATGTATCTACCCCGAGGGATAAACGCAAGACTTGAGGGTGAGGCTCGATCAAATAAACTAGGAAAACATATGACATCTGTTTGGGTCTGCGAAACCGTTTTATTTGCCGACAAGTTCCCCTATTTAATACAAATAAGTTTATTTTAAGCTGGGTTCGGAAAAGCTTCCTATAAGGGCAAACCCCTATAGTTAATTACATCTTAAATGACCGAAGTCACCTAAGAAAACTCTCGATAAAAATCAGGGAATAATGTCTTCAAAGAAATCAAAAGGATAGAACCTTACAACGAAATCGGACAAAGAAGTATGAAGGGGGAAAAGCTCAAATCTGGAACATTGTTAAGGAATCCAAATGAAGAGAAACTAGGGGAAACCACTGATCCTGAGGCGAACCTCAGTAGGTTCCCAGTCTATCCTATGGTTTGGCTCCAATTTTGAAAAGAAATTATTAAAGTGATTCATCCTGCCAATTTTATTTAATTAGGGCTTATATTTGCGTGACAGGGTCACTCAAATTGCCTAGAAGATATGAGGGTTTAAGGGTTTACGTCGCATCGGACGATAACCTCGGAACCTAGAACGAGTTTAGAGCTTAAATCGTACGACAGAGCTATACGAATGCCTAAAGAAAAAGGTGGAGGATTTATGTTGCGCTAGGCAAACAACCTCAAAATCCTATGAATTGTTGTTTAATTTCTAGGAAAAAGAGATGGTTTTGCTGGGGGAGATGCGTTATGCTGTTGAAGATGACCGTGCTGCCCACAGCGCTAGCACCAAATTCCTTGCCATGACGAGTTTAAGTTTTCTAGGGTGTCCGGTTATACTATCAAATCAAACGGCCCTATGGTTGTAGTCCTCTAAACATCCTGTGTAAAAAGGGTAAACATGTTTAAAGTTATAAAATGTAAAGCGTGCAATACAGGAATGAACAGTAGCATGCAAGTGAAACAGTAGTAGGCATAAAACAGGAGTAGTATAACATGCTATACATGAAGAACAGTAG